TGTAGCTAAATATAGTAGAAATTCAATATGTATTAAACAAAGTAAGACTCAAAATCTGTTAAATGGCCTAATTGCAACAAGCCTTAATAAGCATGAAGGCTTACGAGCTGAACACTTTTCGTTTTATGGGGACGAAATGAATGGAATTCTGGATGCATTTCAGGACATTTAGGGTACTGTAAAACAGAAATTATTGACAACATCAAGTTAATCTCTTATTTGCACATAATAAATGCATCGATTTTATCAAGAAACCCATAGACCGTAGTTGGGCTCAGGGTATATTCTCCTTCTGCTCGGGGCGACTGATATTATACTCGCAAAGCACTCGATGTCTAAAGGAAACACAGTTGCAATTTTGAGTAATTCCTCACCAGTTTACCTTAGCTTCACCTTCAGTAGTATTTACATATGTCGTTAGTTCGCATCATGCCTTCAACATTTTTGCATTTGATACTAACGCAACTTTCATTCTCCTACAAAACCGGTGGATTCAAAATTACACAAAGTCAATACTTTAAAAAGGTACTTCTAAAGCAAGAGTCAGACATGCATTTAGGTGCATCCTATTTTTTGACAGTGCGAAGACATTACTTAGGCAGACTATGTATTACCACAATAGATATAAATCTAGGGTTGCTGACATAGATAGGATTCTTACCTACCCATCGAAGGAGCGATTGCGGCCCTCCTTAGCGACCTTTTTACAAAATTTTTGAGTTAAATAACATCTTGCTTTCCAAGCCGCCCTTCTTCCTTTTTTTGTAGTCCCTGGTGTTTTCATTTTGGAACATTAAGCGTTAAAAATTACAAATTACTAATATTCCAGAAACACCTATGAGCCAATAGTGTTAATCATCAGATTTATATGTACTTGAGGAGATATTTGATCGCAACGCCACTGATTCTCTTAGCGAGTTGTTTAGATGTGAGGTTTTATCCTGTATGGAAGCTAAATTCGGGGGATGAGTTTGTGATGGCTATCACGCGTGTTCATGGCTAGATATAGGACTAGCAGCTTAAAAGTATTCACATTACAAAGGACGAAATTTGACGCTGCTTTGCAAGTACAGAATTTTGCATTTGTTTCTTCTCGAAAGCCTTAGCTATTCGTGACTTATTTAGCTACCGGAGAGGTGGAAAAGGCATTGCCTTTCGCAAAATTGATATCTTCTATTGGGTATGGGATGCTGCCTTAATAACAGCTTACTAGACGCTATACGACTACAGCTAGTGCTGCTAATGGCATTCCTGTAGACCACGGTACTGGGGTAGCCGTTGAAGATTGATATGGTTTTCAACCAATCTCTTATAGGTCGCCACAAATTACGCCTTCCGCAATGTATCTTCTCCTTTCATCACGCTAAATTATGTTATTTAGCAGCAGAAATAAAGCTGAATATCCTTTATGATCGAGCTTGCCTTCCATCAGCACCATTGTAGTGCTCCGGTTCTCGTTGGGACAAAGGATGTAATGCTTCAGGAGAATACTTACATTTGGCATGCGGCGAGGCAAAGATCAACTAAAACTAACTTAAAGAATAGTTTACTGGCTCAAGCCAGATGACGATGACCCAAAGTGTCTTGTTCACCACAGCCGAGTTTAAGCAGCAAACGTACTGCATTTATAAATGTTGAATCAGTCCAGTTATTAAGGCCTACAATTCCTTTTTTAGAAAAAAACCTATCTTGGGCTAAATTGCTGCTTCTTTGGGAAATGTTTACCGATGGATGCTATTTCTTTTATAGGTAAGCCGTGATTGTTTGAACTGACGCCTGTTTCATTTCTCAATCTGTATCGCGGGCATGTCTGATGGTGTGATTAGCTCCAGGCAACTAGCCTTTAAGAATGCTGGAAAGAGCGCGGACGTAAGTGCTGATATAATGTTGAGCGTTCCTTAGGAAATGCGTCGCCGTCGACAGGAGGGTCAGGTGGAGTTGCGCAAAACAAAGCGGGATGAGTGTCTTCAAAAGAAGAGGAACATTCCCGCCGATGTTTCTGCAGAAGCTGAGGTGGAAGTTGTTGAAAAACCACCGCTACTAAATCTACCTGATATTGTTGAGAACGCAAACAGTGAGGACCCAGCTGTTCGTCTTCTCGTCGTGCAGTCTGCTCGGAAGTTGTTATCTAGTGACAGACACCCACCAATTGACGAGCTCATTAATTGCAATGTACTCCCAATGCTTGTCAGCTGTTTGGATTCCGAGAAGTAAGCACTGCCTTTTTAGGGATTATCCTACCTTCGCTTTCGCGTCTTATTTTAGTATTTGCTGTTGGTCATTTTCATATTTAAAGAATGTGAGCTGGAGCCAAAGTTGTGGAAGCGGATTTAAACTTCATCTAGTATTTTAAAGCATAATTGCTGCACATCTTCATTATACTTTGTTGCCTTCTTCCTACAGCCCGACCTTGCAGTTTGAAGCCGCTTGGGCATTGACGAATATTGCATCTGGGAACTCTAAGCAGACCGCTGCTGTTGTCCAGGCAGGAGCTGTGCCATATTTTTTGAAACTCCTATCATCTCCACATATGAATGTTTCTGAGCAGGCCGTTTGGGCACTGGGCAATATTATTGGTGATGGTCCGCAACTTCGCGACTTGGTCATCGAACAGGGCTTAATAAAGCCGTTGTTGAGTCTTTTGACACCGAACATTTCCATTACATTCTTGCGGAATATAACTTGGGTTATGGTTAATCTGTGCCGAAATAAGAATCCTCCGCCGCCGGTTGGTACTATTCAAGAGTTGTTGCCAGCTTTGCTGTATCTGATTACCAACACCGCCGATAGTGTAGGTTTTCTCTTCACTTTCGTTTGCTAAAATGCTAGTTTTGTTTTGGTTATTGTGCGGTATCTTGTTTGTGATTTAGCAAATTTTGGTTGACACTGTCTGGGCTATATCCTATTTGACTGACGGTGGGAACTATCTTATCAGCATGGTAATTAACGCTGAAATTGTACCTCATCTTGTGCCGCTCTTGTCCCATCCAAACTTTAAAGTGCAGACAGCGGCTCTGCGCGCGGTTGGTAATATAGTGACTGGCACAGACCAACAAACCCAAGTTGTTCTGGACTGTGGCGCGCTGAGCCACTTTCCTCAGCTATTGAATCATCCAAAAGAGAAAATAAACAAGGAAGCTGTCTGGTTCCTCTCTAATATTACCGCCGGCGATCAGAGTCAAGTTCAGGCTGTTATTGATCATAATCTGGTGCCACTTATTATTGGGCACTTGGCCAATAGTGAATTCCTCACTCAAAAGGAGGCCGCGTGGGCCATTTCAAATCTGACAATTAACGGAAATGAGCAGCAGGTAGGTGTCTACTTTTTTATCTTTGAGTTGCATTTTTGTCATTAATGGTGGCTTCTTTCGTTAGGTGCGTTACCTTATATCGCAAGACGTGATTCCTCCTCTCTGTAAATTGCTCTCCTCACGAGATTCTCAAGTGGTTCAAGTAGTCCTTGATGGAATACTGAATATTATTAAAATGGCTGGAAGCATGCTGGAGGACGTCATCAGCTCTATTGAATCATGTGGTGGATTAAATCTCATCGAAGATTTGCAGCAAAATGTGAACCCTTCCATATTCAAGTCTGCATACAATATACTTGAAATGCTCTATGGTTCTGTAAGTTACTTCCTGTGCTACTTTTACGTCTTAATAGAGGATAATACGGGTATTTTTTTTCTAGAACTACGATGAAACTGTTGCGGCTGACGAAGAATTTGAAGCAGTTAATACGGGTAACGGAAATAATCCTCCACCCGCCGATGGCAATGAGGAGACATTCACATTTGCGGCTGAAACGGATAACATGCTTTTCGACTTCTAGTTTCAAACACGTCATGATCAATTCATCCAGTAATACCAATTCACCAAGTCCACATAAGTGCATGGAAATGCCACAGTCTACTCGAAATTATCACTGGCACTTGTTTGCTGTCTGTCTGAGATTGTCTGTGAGCTGCTTGGTCCATTTCCTGTTATCATCCGCAAGTCTTACTCAACTGAATTCGCTCAACTCTGTAATTTACCGGGCCGCGGAGGTTTGTGCCTATGCGACTTCATATCCAAGACATACATTCCCTTTTTTGCCGTTGGCCAAGCGTGCGGCTCCCTACTGCCTCGTCCCACTTCTTATCAGCCGAGCCTTCCTTACCTTTTAGAATGCGCGCTTACACCTCAAACTAGCTCCTCGAGAGAAGTGGGAGTCTTACGTTTTATTCGTGCCAGGAACTGCATCGAACTCCAGCCCGTGCCTTTCCTACCTTTTTTGTATCTTCGCTCCACGGCCCACTGCCGACACTGATCACAGCATTTAACATGTTCAATTCTTTTATTTCTACAGTATTTGCTCCAGCGCCAGGCCCGAAATTCGCAGTTTTCCTCCGGTCTATTTTGACATTTTCTCTATTCCTCCTCGAGTTCTTCCGATTTTGTATAATTCTATTATCGCTATGCCGGTTTCTTATTTTTTGGCTTAGCGGTCTCGCTCATTGCCTTGTCTTAAGGGCTTCGGCCACCATTTGTTTTTCCATCGAAACTTGCCTTCATCTGCGTTGCTCTTATCTCGCGCAAAAAGTATCCACAAGTTCAGACAAAGATGGCCTTCTTTCAACGGGAATTGCGAGATGCCATTCGACACGACCTTAGTCTTTCCACGCCTCTCGATGCAGAAATCCGCTCTTAAACATGATTTCTGGTTCTTATTTTCCCTTTAGTCCTCTGTGTTACTAGTATTTTGCTCCTCCTTTACACGGACACCTTGGAACCTGTGATTCACTTTCAGTTTTTTTCGTATTCCCTTTTGCCAATCATCACTTGCATTTCCTTGTATTGTCTCGGTTGCACTCGGAATTGGACTGCTGATCTTCAGAAGGCGGTGTGCTTTTGAAGTTCTTGCTCACCTAATTCTGAGTGAGCTTTCTTCTTTCTCCCTCTTACTCTGAGATGTATTTTGCAAATTTTGGACCGAAGCCTACTTCCCTTAGCCTGTACAGCTTATTTTCTTTACTACGACTACTACAACAGTAACAGCACTTGCAAACACATTGTGGCTCGGGGCCGTCTCGTGGTTGATGCTTCGCAAGAATAGCACCTGCGTCTCCGCATCCTTTCCTACCTTCCCACTTCCCTCGCACTTTTCTGCTTGCCATTTCATCTCTCCACCCACATCTACTCTCCACCATGCTTACACTCCACTATGCGTTTGCGTGTGAACCTCCACCAAGTGTGCATTGTTTGCCTGGAGTTTGTTGGGCTTGTGCTACAGCCTGTCTATGTGGACATATTAAAAGTTAAATTTACATTTACATGCTCATTGTTTTTCCTTTCACATCGCTCATTTTTTTTTGGTCTGAGGCGCACGCTATCCTCATCTACGAATTCATGCACATGTTATATATTCACGAGCGGTGATGCTGAGTAAACAATGTGTTGCCACAATAATGATATCCTTGTCTTGCCGAATCGCGGGCTGGCGTAATCGTCAATCGGGAATTTGTGCCTTTTAGCATCTAGTAATCTTCATTGTACCGCTATCATCCATTGGGTGTGGGCATGCGGAGTCGGTGAGGTGGCGTCAGGTTAATGTCTGAAAGCGGGTCGTATACGCGTAACGCACTTTTGTGTGCGGAATCGGACTGCCAGATTTCAGGGTGCGCTTGACGCGGTTGGGTGTTGCGGCCCTAGGGGGGTAGGTCATTACCCGAATTAAAGTTAAAGGAAGGAGGACGAAATGTGCCTTTGCGGTTGTGCGGTGCTTCAAGTAATGAGTTATTTGCCTGTCCGTTAAAAATTTGGATCAGCATTCATTACTTTCAATTCTCATCACGTTCAGTAGTCAAGTCTAGTCACAAAAAACCACTTCTAAGACAGGGTGCGAGGACAATCATTTATTGGTCATACGGAGGTATAAATACATGCTAAAAACATATAAATGATGACACGATTCCCAGGGGCCGTATTTTACCATAGCCTGAGTTTTACAAAAAAGTGACTCAAGTAGAGCCTTTGGCGGCGCCGGTGGAGGTAGAAGGGAGTGGGTGACACACATCTTGCCGAGTACGTCTGCTCAATGCCCTCTGCCAGTAGAGCACGACAGCTTCGTCGTCCGATGTCAGGCCATAGGTGGAAGCCAAGAGCTGGAAGCACTTCCTCGTGGACTCCTCAACGCTGGAGGACACCTTCTACAAGGGGAAGACCCACTTCAGCTGAGCAATAACTCTCAAGAAGCAAAGTATCGTTACTTACGCAACAAGTCTGGAAGGCGTAGAGAGTACGAGCGTAGTCGATCCAGCGCTGTCGAATGGCGGTCAATGCAAGACTCATGGTGGAGGGTTGTAGGATGACGAGATTGTTCTGCACTGGATCTACCATTCGAAAAACCTCGGTTATTTGACGAGCGAATGTAGAGTTGATGGTCTTCTTGAACACGGGTCCCGAAAATGAGGTCATGGGGGTAGAGGTAGAGGCTGCGGAATTGGCGGAGGGGAGGCCCCAGGGGGAAGATGAGGGACCCTCAGAGAGACTGCTGCTTCGTGACCATGCCAACTCCCAGTTGTCCGGGGGTGTTTCCAGCGCCTGGCCGAAGCTAACTGCAAAGTTGAGCTGAAGAGAATGGACAATCACAACCACTCAGTCTAGTCTTCCAGACATTTCAACTGGTGAGTTCTAGATGGCTATTGTCACATTGAGATTGGTACAACATAAATCAAAGTCTAGCAACAATTTATGCAGCATCGCTCATCGCTGATTGAAAACAAATTGCCTTGTCAGTGATCGTTGAAGTGGGAAGTAATTCTGTCAAAAACGAACTTCCAGTTACCGAATAATGGAAAATGCTATCGTAAAGCATTACCAGTAGCACTAGATACCAATGACGCCCGGCTACGAAAAACCCGCGCACACATCGTAGGCTAGTCTAGACAGCCTCAAAAGTGACAACGTGCAAACATGAGTGGATTGTCTTGGGAACAAAGACGTTCCTACAGAAGACTTCAAGCACTGTATGATACGCTGATGGAATACTTATCAGCTCAGCAATGAAACGCCTGAATACCACAAACGTTTTGGAGATGCCAGTACACCCGTCAGTGACGACGACCTTTGGCAGGGAACCAGCGTATGGAACACAGCCGGTGAGCACAACCAGTCATAAACGCAAACATTTGTAATTTCCAAAACTTGGCGCAGATGCAGCTTTTTGCGGAGCGTCCTAAGATGGCCCGTCTGTACTGACAAATATTTCCATGCCAAAGTTTTCAAGTGCTCAGCTAAAAACTGAAAGATGTAAATGCAGCAGTAGAGGACTAGATAGAAAAACTGTTTTAACTTATTGGTATCAATTCCTTTCTATTTTAAGTGAAGCTCACGTCCCAAATTGTTTCGAACACCTTCCCCAGACAAGACCTTCTTATCCTTTGTGAACTGATCAGAGGCCTTGGCATGTAGACTACATTTTCATTTGATAATACTATGCAATAAAAATTGCACGATCAAACACAAACAGTTTTGCAGACGGAAAAGTTGGTAAGATATTAATGACCTTGCATCACAAAGGAGGGTGATCGTATATTCGATGAAGTGATAAAAGTCAAGACCTATTTAGTCACCCAAAGTTTTGTTAAAACCGCCGCGATTTATTCAAAGAAGCGGACCAAAATGTGACGAATCAAAACTTGGTAGAAGCTACCTTTATCACGTTAGCAAATGTTTTTGACCGGGATGATTCAACATTATTGAAATTTTTTAATCGAGTGATAATATTTACTCATTTCATTGGTGGCACATTTGGGTTGTTGCAATGGTTTTCTGCTGGAATTTTGATAACAAGTGTGTTAGAGGCGTAGAAATGAGCCCGAACTACTAATTTCACCTATAGAAATAGACGCACTGATGATTGAACAATCAGAATTGCCCACCTGGTCGAATTTGGTGTCCGAGCCAGTGGAAGAGGTAGAAGGAGAGGGTGAGCGTTCACCAGTGGTCAATTTCTCTTCTTTGGCAGTGTTGGGCGACATTAAGCTCACCTGGACGATCACGTAGGGTGTCTCTGGAGGACCCAACTTGGACAGGGGAGCACCCACATTGAGGGAGAGGAGGTTGCACTGAGAGGGCGGGTAGTACGTCGCGCTTTCGTTAACCTGAGGAAGAGACCGTGAAAAATGGGGTTTACAGGACACCAGAGAAACCGAAGGCTCTAACATACACATGTAAAGGTAAGCGAAATAAGTTTATGCAGTTTTCCAGAATGCAAACTAAACTACAGAAAGCTTCTTAAACTATTCTTTTTTCTCCGATAAATAATAGTCATCATAAGCTATAATCTTTTAACAATGTAACACAAATTAGCTCTCAATTACACATTTATAAACCGTTTTGTCTCCAAAACCGAAGAAGAAGCCTAGCCACAGCCACTTCCTTTTCTAATTTAACTTCATCCCCCCGTTCTACTATCTACTCCACTTCGTATATGATCGCGTGATTTTCTAACGCAAAAGCCGAGAAAAGATGATAGCTATAATTTAAGGAATCAACATACGATATACCACACCTCCCCCACATACTGCACACAATTTACTAAAAGCGTTTTCAACTTTGAAGTTTAATTTAACTTTAGTTGGAAAGAAAAACAGGCTCAAATCACATCAGGTTCGTTCGGACGATAAAAGATAAAAGACTATGGGGCACAATAAGGAGCATGGATGGACCGACGCATACCTATGCCTCTCGAGTTAGCGGTTTACAATGAAACCGATGTGAATCTTTTTGTCACCTGATTTGTAGCGAAAAATTTGATGACTTGATCTCGTAGAGAAGACTGCTTACACGACGAGACGGCAGTTATGCCCTAGACGGACCCTAATAAGAGAATTATATGAAAAACAAGCGTAAGGAAGTAATGAACTCAACGAATTTGCTCATTGTTTACAGGAAGCGTCATTCAAAAAGCGGCATGCTTTACCGATATATTGAACCGGACGGGATGTTTCACTCTTGCAATTCGGGTACCAATCTGGCATCATGGCTTTGTTTATGATATGTAGACTACCTGTTGATGTTGAATATTCCTTCGCGCAGGCACGCCTTATCATGCCTCGGACACCATGGTAAATCGTGGAATTATCGCTAAATTATATAAGGATCCCAGTAGAAAAGCCAACTGTTTCGTGACTCAGTAAGGTTGCGGTCTTGACCCAAAAGCTGTAGAATCAACACAATTTGTAATTAAAATGCGAAACAACGACACGTCGGAATTCTCTAAGATCTTGTTCATTGAAACGCAATACATGTGAACCAAATTAGGTTCAGTAAAGTTTCAAAAAAAGTAAATGATGATGCTCAATGAACGCCAGGAATTAAGTAGACAAAGTTGTTCGTTTCAAAACACAAAAAAATGCGCCTATAGTGATGGCGAGGACTTTTTTGCCAGATCTTTAAGGAACTCAGTGAACCAAATAGGAATCTGTTGTATCCACATAAATCCTCCAATAGGAATGTGTGCAATCATACATTCACACACTAGGACCGTATCTGAGCGACTGTACACAAAAAGAGGGAAAAGAAGGCAATTGGGTTGGATTGTGCGGGTACAGGCACATATATGTAAACAGGACAATGGCTGCACCGAAGTGGTTTGCAACTGAAACTACACTCGCTGGAGTAAAAAAAATCCGTATTGAATGCTAATTTTAACTAGTTTTCTTGTCTACTATTCATCATAGCCGCTACCATAGTCAAAGTAATCTTCATGTCACGGCAAAACGAGCGTCGAATCTGAGGTACAAAAGGCAATGAAGAAAGGGAGATCTACTAAAAACCGATAGCTAAGTAGAAGTGGGACACAAGTTAGTGTGAGCAAAAAGTTTTGATCACACAATTGGTATTTTAGTCCCAAATTGGGTAGCAATTAGCCCAAAAATGCTTTTGCAGCAATTTATAGAAACGAGACCAAGGACTGACCACCTTTATAAAACAATACTTTTTTTCCGAAGAGAAATGATTTAGGCAATCGAAAAAGAAACCGTAAAATTCGCATTAATGGTTAAAATGAATGAAATTCGTCACACTGTTCCTAGTGTGTGATAATATGATGCAGAAAGTGTAAGGTGGTTGAATATTATACGCAAACATCAAATAGAAACATTTGATAAAGAAATGGCAAGAAGAAAAGCTAATGACACAAAATCCCCCATCTCGCCCAATACTCGGTCATTAGAAATCTATGTACATCTTCCCATTGCACAAATTGACGCCTACTGACGTAAATAATAAGTACTATTTACTCACAAGTCGGACGCATCCCCGAGGCAGGAGACGAGCGAGTGCGGCAGCAGTGAAAGACGCGACTTTGGGTTTTTCCAGCGGATGAAGGATGACCTGATTGCCGATGCCCAGATAGTAGACAAGTCGCAGGAAGTACTCCTCGCCTATGCATTTGTAGAGGTGGGACAGTAATCGCATTTGACTGCAACAGAAATCGACCAACTTAGCCACACACCGATCTGACGATCGACAAATAACGACAAAAGAACAGAGCCTGCTACAGAATGTTAGGTGGGAAAGAAATCGCACACGTACGTAAAGGAAGTCACTAAATTTGACCGAACAGGCGCCGAAATTAGCACTCCAGTTTCAGCAGATGACAGTAGAAAGTAAGACTTCTTATCCAGTACTTATTCAAACTGCCTCTTCTTATCTACCTGATTTAAGTGCAAAGACAAACACACACTTCGTTGAATCCCCTTTCAGCTAACGTGTTAATAAATCACAATTCAAACGAGGTCCACAAAGGGAAAAAAAGTAATCGGAAGGATGGTATAGTGAAAACCGCTTTGCAAAAGAAGAGCACAACAATAACGAAGACACTGCGAGAACACAAGGACGGTGTCCAATGAAAGGGAGCAACACACAGAAGCAGTTTGACTGAGCACTAGCAAAAAGAAACCAAAATAAGTTTGTGCAGTTTTACGGAATAAAAATTAAAAAAGCTCCAGAGAGCCTCTAAAACTAACCTTATTTTCTCCGAAATGATCATCATTACAAACTCCAATCCTTGAACTACGCGATCCAAGTTAGTATTCAATTACATTTTTGTAAAGTGTTTTGTCTCCAGAAGCCACGAATAAAGTTAGCCACAGCCACCTTCCTTCTCTACCTCAACTTTGCGCGTATGTTATTAAGCGATTGTCTAGCACAAGTGCCAAGAGAAAATGACAGCTAACATATGACATACAACGCCCCCCGCTCCCCCACCCCACCCCCCACATTCTGCACACATCTTGCAAGACCTTCAGCAACCTGGAGGCTGAGTTTAAGTTCAATTCGAAGGGACAAACAAATCCAAATCACATCAGGTTCGTTTGGACGGCACTGTGTGATATAAGTCCCAAAACAATGGATAAGAGGCGGTAAAACATAACAACGAGCCCAGATAGACCAACGCATGTCTATGCCCCTCAAGGCATGTAATCGACCAAATTTTACGATTTCGTGCAAAGTGATCAATGCAGCAAGGTACATTGAAATCGACGCGAATTTTTTGGTAGCCCAATAAAGTGAACGCATTGTACACATTAGTATGGGCCAAGGAGTTCAAGGAAAGGACAGTTAGTTAAGAAGTGTGCATAATTTAGTCTTTTGTCGCTCAGATATGATATTTACAGTACTTTTATAAACCTGTTTCCCAATGAATTGGCTCGTTGGCTACTTGAGGCTTGTCACAATTCAACTTGGCACTGCCGACTTTCAGTTTCCTCTTATCCGATTCAAATTTAGGGCCAAGATCTCGTCTCAGAGTATCCCGCTTAGGTCTACAATAGTTACTTATTGAATAAAACCGTTTCTTCCATTGATTTAAAGTCAAGACTTTCAATTAATACTTCTCCATTCGACCGTTTTACTCAAAAAATAGAAAACAAGATTACACATTTGGATGAGTAGGGGCACGAATTGATTGAAGAGGGGACTTGACTAGCACCACCCCAAGCTCCCACTTGCCAGAAGTACAAGTCCGCTTGTCGCCCATTTGAAGGCATAACAAAGCGACTCAACCACAAAGCTGCCTGTAACAGAACGATATTTATCATAATTTTGCAAGTAGCCACACATAAGCTCTTTAGACTTCTAATTGTATGGTACTCTATCCTTTCCATTGCTATCAACAGTTCATTGGCGCTTCAGCATGTAAGAAAGTTGCAACTGGACTAATAAGTCTCACCTCCTCTTCGGGTAGGGCGTGGGGGCTCTAAACCTTGCCTAGACAAATTAGAGCAGTGAAAACTTTGAGGGCAACATCAATTGGAAATATGCTTGTCGCTAGGATCTAGTGAGAAATAACAAGGAATTGAATTTCTTTCTTCAACGATCGAGACATTTGAGTACGACCCTTTTGGGAGGCGTATTGGCCTTGAATCAATGATCTCACAAGGTTGGAAACGTTAATGATAAACTGAAAAAAATGGTGTGGGAAACAAGAGTGAAGAATATTACATAAGTGAGATCATGCTCTACAAAAGTCCATAAGGGAAAGACGCAGTATATCGTTGCGATCGAAATGACAAAAAGTTAGATTAAACTACAAGGAAGACAGATTGCGCAAGTGTCTTTTGTCAATGATTATGACAAGGAAAAAATGGTGCCCACGAAAGATATGAAAATGATGCATGCTTATTTTAAATGCAAGATTCTGAATGCTTTTAAGCATGTTTGTAAAAAAAAAAACAATTGGAGAGAAAGACTTAGACAAGACGACGATTCACCTCGAAGAATATCAAATAAATTTTGAATAAATGTTAATTCTCGCGGCAAACTTAAACCAGCTTATTTAAAAGGGTGCGAATTATGGCAATGGTGCTTGAAGAAGAGGAGAGGGACAGGATGGAAGCGCTTGACCTCAAAAATCACAAGCGCTAAAACAATACGCAACCTTCCCTGCTAATGTCCTGTGCAAATTTGATGGATTGAGGTCCGACTTCAACGGTACTCAACGGTGCAATTACAATGCCTAAAATACATACTAAGTGCTTACGAGCTAAGGTATACGGTAATCAAGGTGAGAATAGGATGAATTTACTCCGCTTTAATCTTTGAAGGACTACGTCTGTGGCTTACATTGCAATAAAGGCTAGGCTTGTAACAGCAAACGATACAAGATTAACCATCAGTTTGTGGAAACACCTTTAACTGACATTTGCCATCACAAGTGATCAGAGGGCAGAGGGGAGGTCAGCAAAATCGTGGCTTACACCAAAGGGTTAAAATAGGTGACTAGATAAATGTGCACTAAAATGCCACATAACGAGAGTGCCCGAGTTGATCCTAATAGGCAAAAAAGTATTCATCAAAAGAAAAGCATGTACATCAATTTACCTGAAGGCATGCCTGAACAAAAAAAGGTTAATTTTTAGATCAAAAGCAATAAGGTATCGTTAATTTCAAAGAATGAAACAAAAAAACATTTAAAACGTGAGAAGCGTAAAAAGACATCCAATCACACTGAAATGCCTGAAAGCAGGTGTCATTTTGGAAATAAGGCTATCTTTGTAGTAATCAAACATGGAAAACTCGAGGGACTGAAATATGTAATTGACGGGATCTGGGTCAACTTCCCCAGACGCTTCAACGTCAAAATAATGGACCAATAATCATAAGTGGCAAGCAGGATAAGTGGCTGTGGTGTCATCAAAAAATAGAAAAAGCAGAATAAAATATCAGCACTCAAAACAGAAGCCAGTAGCAGAAAGGCCATCTAGCTAGGCTGGGAAAGAGAAAAAAACGGGATCACTTTCAACTTTAAGGCAGAGTCCGAGCGCTGAGACGTCTATAGGGTGTAAAGGGGGATGGGAGATATGCATGAGGTATCCCATGAGCTAAAGCGCGGATCAATAATCAAGAAGCCAACTGAGGAGAGTGAAAGGCACAAATTTAAATGAGCCTACTCATACCTCCATTTCGATCTCAATGAAAAAAGGGAAAACAGAATTTCAAGGACCGCAATGGTAGAAGTGGGAGGGGGGGAAAGTAAACTTAAGCTTATTCGTGCATTCGGTTTGACTTAAGTGTCAAAGAAAAAGTCAATACCCGACTAAAGTCAAACCGACAATTTTAGTTTAACACCCTTAAAAAGGATATCAATGTGGCAGCACTAATGGTAAGAATGGGTGAACAGTGTGTCCTATTGCTATTAGCCGACACTCATGTCATACATGCATGGACCAGTGTACATTGGCAAGGTGTCTTGTAAACAAGGGTGTAAAACTCGAACCCACAGAGATCTACTTCGATAAACTGAAAGCTTCAAACACATTACAGTAGAGTAATGGGAAGCCCAACAACAAGGAAGCCATTTCACAATAGGAAATAAGAGTCAGAGACGACCCTTGGAGTAGTGGTTTCTAGACTGCAGGCCAACAGTTAGTCCTAGGAATCACTAGCTCGTGGAATTTTGGGCTTCTGCAGACTCTCCCAGGAAATTTTATCCGAAAAGAAGTATTTTTCCATGAAGAAGCTGCTTTCAAGCATTAGTTTAACACTAGAAGTGCATAAATTCAGCAGCAAAAGACCGCATGTGATAATGAATGTAATTTTCACCCATTAAAAATTGTTTTCTCTTACAACAAGCCTACAGGTCTTAGTTTGACTTGAATACCTTCATGGTATGGTGTCTTCATTTCCAATGACAGTATAAACTAACTAAAAGGCCAGCTGACTAGAAGGAAGGCCTGATAGTTAGTAAGATTCTACAGCTTCGGAATCAAATCAGGAATAGGCGAAGTATTTGGGGAGGAATGGATAGAAGAAAATAAGCTTGAAGCAACTTACACAGCCGTCTCGACCTCAGGAGTGCCATCAGTCCAGCCAAGCTCGGAGCCCAGCGTGAGGGTGGTGGGATCGATGGTGTTGATGGCGCCCGAGGTTCCGCTCACTGCCGCATGACCAGAGCTGCCACTGAGGCCCAGCAGGAGACCATTCTTGCGCTCTTCCGCGAACACCTCATCCTCGTTCACGGGGGCACTCTTAAGGTCCACTGGGGTCCAGTTGCGACCCGCTACTCGCAGCAGCCACGTGAACCAAGCGTGCACGCGGTAGTACACCTGGAGGAGAGTGAAGTATCCATAAGGCATTCAGCAGCATTATCTCGAGCCTTAAAAGGAAGTAAACTCTTCGATTGACCGTTAGCGGCCGATACCGGTGGTCTAAAGTAACAATGAGTGCCTGAACTAAAGGCGTATGAATTTTTGTAAAGTACACAGAGGAAGACATAAAATAGGTAGAGTTGATCGCATTTGGGGATAAAAAACTGGTTGGTGTGTCAAGTGTGCAATGGTCTCGAAAAAAAATTTAAGCAAAATAAGAATCATGCCAACATTTAACACCAATTACCTAAAATATTAAATCGAACACTTGGTCTGTTAAGACCATGCAGCTTTTGTGATCACCCAAACAAGGGGTGAAGCATAATTGTTTACGAAGGGCTTGCACTGATCCATGAAGGTAATACCCGCCATGCGGCCTTAACTCATTTTTTCAAGAACTGAAAACGGGGGAAAAGAACACAATACACAAGTATCCAAACGTAAAGAGGGGCTGTGATTTCGTATGATGAGCACCTGTTCGACAAGGATCCATCGAGTAAAAACCAGTGATAAATAAATATCCGCTAATTCGTAACATCCATGAGCACTGAAGGTGTGAAGAATATAGGATCGACAACAAAAGCATCGCTAATGTTAAAAAAGCAACATATACTCAAAATCCGATGATAATCTTGAGCATCAAAAAACTAGATTCAACCAAATTTGATTCTAGCTTTTTAGGGATTTAGGGGAAGGAAAGTGTACGCTAAAACTTGTCAATTGGGGAGAGATACTGCATTTTTCTATTCTAAGAAAAAAAGAATTCATAACTGGTTTTCTCAATCAGTTGATGCTACGCCTGGATGCTAGTAATCTATCACCTTATTCTTAAGGATAGAGATTTCATAGAAAACGTAAGACAAAACTATATCCACCAGCTTCTCAGTTAACCTCCTATCATGTAGATAAGGTGGTTTAGGATGCGATGTCGGCATTTAAATAGGAAAAAAAATGAAAGGGAACCGCAAAAACTGGAACTAAATAATGGCATTGGACAAAAAATGAGCCCAGTCAAATATGGGTAGAATATGCAAATGTGATGTGTGGCAACCGCCTGATTTTATCAAATAATTCACTTAGGGCTTTTTAAGAAATTTAGCCCGGTGATTTGGCAGCTACCAAACCATACCGAATGAACTACGGGAAGGAGTCACACAGCTTCCTGAAATAAATTTATAGATAGACCAACAGAAAACGTAAAAGTCACAAGGATAATGCTTGAGGATGCAACTAAACTTGAACAAAAAACTTGAATTTTGTGGCGAAGGTAGATTTACTTCAAAAAGGCTTCTCCATGTAATTTTACACTACTGGTATACTTAAGGTGGCAAGACATCAAAGGGATTTAAAAAAGACGATACTAGATTGAACGCTTTGCTAGAGAATGACAAAATTTAGAAGTAAAAGTGAAAAATATCAAGAGTTTTGGAGAAATCACCCCCAAGCCTGACAGTACTAGTTAAGCCAAGTCACTTCGAGCTCTGCTTGACAATGCAGATCACTCAAATTAGCCAGCGACATTGATAGGTTGAGGCACAAGGAAGGGCCTTCATGACTGCCCGAATTAATGGGGTACATGGTAAATTCACAAATTTGATTGTACGGAAGTTTGACACATTGGGAGATCTAAATAAATTCATTTTGAATGACAGGGCTTTCACAGAAGAGACAAAAAGAAGTCGAAAGTGTACGTTTCTAAGTCAATGAAGGATGTTCATGAATTAGCAGGCAGAAAAGCATGAGAAACCGGTGTGATAATAGATATAAGAGAGCAAGGCCACTAAATTGAACACGTGACTACAAAAAAATTTAACTTTGCTAACACTTTAGCTGAATTAGCTTTATTTGATTTTTCATAGGAATCACGGAAGACGAAATTGAATCTATCAATTTGTCAATTACCAATGGATAGCGGTGTAATAATTTTGAAAAGAGCTTTTTATGACAGTCTAAAGTGAGAAAAAAAACAACGCGGGTGGTAAATAAACTAAAAGGCATAAGCACAGCCAAACACCCAATTGTGAAGATATTTTACATCACTAATCTGCCTACTCGAAACAGGCGAGCATCGGCAGGACCAGAAATTTGCTCATTCCATTACACAATGGATAACAAGTTTCAGATGGAAAATATTGATAGTCACGACAAGAATCATACAGAATTACTCGTGAAACGCTTAGATGATGCAATGCTATCACAGCTTTAACCTGGATTCACCCGGTTTTTCAAAGCGATAGAAGTTGATAGAACAAACAAAAACAGGCGTCTCGTTTCTCAAGGTTGGGTAGGGAATATCCGTCAGATACTGAACAATCTGATTACCAAATTCAGCAAAAAAGGACTCATTAATAAATTAATAATTGCTAGTTGATGGCATTCAAAGCCGTCAAAATTACAGCCGAATCTCAAGAGGACACAAGGTTCAGAACGATGTGTTTCAACCACAAAAGTTAATCTTCTGAATGCTACAGATCTCAAACTCCAATCATAGCCTCGGTTAATAGATGAAATAGCGCCTTTAAGCAACAAGCTAGTAGATTAAGATCAAGAATCAACCCGCATCTGAGTGTGCTAATACCAGCATAAAATATGTATGAGAAGAGAAACACACGTACAAACGCAACGTACAACACAATTATCCTCCAGCACCTCAAAAACACTAGTCAAAGCGATAGAATACCCACCCTCCTCTTGAAGCATAAGCCAAATTTATCAAATGGATCAAACAGCAAAATCAAGTGAAAATGGAGGCACACCCGTAGAAATGAATTATGAAGCCAATAAAACAATCACTTAAAGCAAAAAGAAGAATAGAATGACCCTCAAATCAGCCTACCGACGAATATTGAAACCAACTAGTTATGTGCGGATTAGTGGATCAGAACACAGCAAAGCATCGCAGGTGTGTCAGCATTCAAAAAATATGCAAACATTCTTTTTCACCGGAGCATGAGACATTCTCTTAATAAGCTAATGGGCGGAGTAAAAACAAACATGGAAGATCAAGAAATCGACAAAATTGGAATCCGCTCTACGAATAACACTCCGCATCTTAGGGCAAGTTCATAGGGAAACAGGAAAATAGAGGCAGCGCAACTGTCAGATCACAGCAATTAATCAGTAAGTGGCATTTGTAGTTAAGCAAAACTCTCAATGACAAAGTAGAGCGTATACAGAGCAGGGTAGAGGAGGAGGCGCAAAAGAGATAAAGTGAACAATTCGTCCCGCGTCGTGACATTTGCATTTCACTTTTGACAAGGCAGCGCGTCCCTAGGTGCAAGGCACAGGTTGAATAGTACGCCAAATTTCTCAACCATGCGAGATAAGTCATATACCCTGATTTGGATGACCTTCAAACACTCAGCAAGCGCTGTGGTTGTGTTGCTAATAAAAAGGACCCAAAATCTCGAGTTGAAATTAGAGACGCATTGGAGTCTAGGCTACAGGTTTCACGGCCCCTTAAAAGTCATTGGAGCTGAAAAGTAACGGCACCTAATAACTTCATGATAATAGGTGTCAATTCATTGACAGAAATCTTAAAAGGGTAGGCAATAAAACAATAAATTGAAGGGAGACGCAAATGAAGCATGGGGTCAATTTAAGAATAGTTGAGACAAGACAATTCTTTCATTTCGATGGATCACTAAGTGTACCTCTCGCACTCATATGCAAGTTGGTGGATTTCACTAAATTTTAGAAAAGTTTCACGGTTGCCGTCTTTGAAACCAAACAAATATCCAGCATGATCAAAGAACTAACTGCTCTCAGAGTTTAAATACGTGTTTGTAACAGACAGGATGTAACCCAAAATATGCCTCAACAGCTGAAATTTCAGAGAACGAAGCGATAGCCGAATTGCATTTCCACAATGCATTTAAAAGACACGAAATAATGACCAACTAACTGGGAGTGTAGATAGTTGTTCGAACTGCACCACACAATATGAAAACAGAGTAACAGTCAAATCACACTCCAACGTGAACAAAGAGCACATGCATCCAAACAACGGCAATCACTGGTAACTGATGAAGCAGAAGGGTAAACTCCCCGTGGGTCAACGAATATGAGAACCGGATTTCCACGAACAGTAAATAACAGCAGAGAGGAAGCATGCTTTTACATAGCGGTAGGCCCACCTGCTCATCTTTCGTAAGTTCAGCGAGAGATCGAACTTCAAACTCAGTAATGCGCATGCCCCTGAGTTTCCTAGTGTTTGCCTGGCTGGAGAGGGAGAGAGCAGAGCCCGCAGCTACTGCCTGACTGGAGAGAAGAGCAGGCGCACCACGACTCGGTGGAGTGGTTGAAGTATTGTGGTGCGCCAACGAGGAGGAAGGTGGTGGGGTGCGACAGAGGCGCAACGGGTTGGCACCCACCGGGGGTGTTGCTGAACGTGCCGCCGCTGCCGCTGCCATCGCTGTCGTGGACGCCGCCGTCGTCGATGAGGCGCCCGACGCAGTCTCTTCCTCATAGACTCGGTTCGCGGCCTCCTGCAGACGCTTCGCCATTGTCTGGAAACTCTTCACCTGTGACAGTAGACAGCGGCGTTGGAGCACCAGTCTTGGCAATATTGACTTAGTGTAGTCCAATGGCGCATAAGTGTATACAATTTAGCCACTAGCTCTATTTTACAACTACAAAGCTAGTTCTACACGTTTTAAGATGCAACTCGGTCATCAAATAGGCGATAGCGCTGGCGTAGTCGATCCAAGAAGATTGTGACAAGAAGACACGAGACCTACTTAACGGCGCTTTCAGACAACTATTTCTACGAAGAGCAATCTTGTTTAGTCTTGGGTGCTATTTTCCAAATGGGTCCCACTCCAAAGCAGTTTATGTAGTGAAGGGCGCAACATTTAGAAATCTCAAATAAATTTATTGTGGGTACTACAACCAATGTAACAAGCAACATTTTCGCCATGAGAAAAATTGGCACAATTTCCGTCTTACGTAACAGCCGGAGCAGAATATGGGCTCGTTAAGTCTCGCAATTCAGCTACAACGCTGGTGACATGGCGCTATTCTCATGCACAATTTCTGTGATAACCCTTCTTTATGTTTGTAGTACAGCTCTACGCAAATTTTTATGGCTTACGGCATCATTAAGAGTGATTAAGAAGGTGTGCTCTCTTCACATACTCAAATGAACTGAATACAGGAACTTACCACAAAAGGCCAAAGGTTGAGCAGAAAAACCTGGTTCCAGGAGATGAGTAGGAAGCTGTATTTGACCTGAAAGCCTCGAGCCATTGAGTCCTTGACAAAGAAGTTGTAACTTATCACATGTCGGTTGACATCATCGCCGAAATACACGGGGCCTTCGCGACCCGGAATAACCTACACGATGAAGGTCAACCGGCGAAATACACGCTACTTAAATGACGAAGTAAAAAGAAAAAAATTCAGAGGGCACCTCGCAGGAGAGACTACGCATGCAGGCTGTGCGAACGGCTTTGAGGAGTTCCACGTCGCTGGGGAACTGAGTGGAGACGTAGTCGGTCTTAGCGGAGAAGTCATGACTCACGAATCCAATTTCGTCACGCGTTATAATGGAACACGCACGACAGGATGCGGAGGATTGCGTCCGAGGGGTGGTGTCCTGCACAGCTCCCGTCGACTGAGGCGGAGCGGTTGAGGTGATAAGATCGGCTGTGAGAAGTAGGATGAAGGAAGAACCGAAAGTGAAAGAAGATTTTGACGACAACAACACTACTGACTAAACAGTGACGAAGAGCCGCCATTACAGCACTTTCTGGCACGTCAAGACAGGTCGCAGACTATAGAGAGGGGAGGGAAGGTATCGATATGCTAAAAGAAATCGTCATCTACAGTGACGGTGGGAAGTCGCTGCCTTTGAAAGGTAGGCGACGAAGGGAAAATCATTTTGTTGCAGTCTAGCATTGCAAGGTTCAAACATACGATGAGGAGGGGATCCTCAAGTGGCCCAAATCTAAACACAATCTAGTACAGCAAGGTAGAACATTGAGCTACGAAAGGAGTAAAAAGCAAGAACAAAGAGCTACTGACTTATCCGCCTGGAAATGAGCCTGTGATACTGCTCTTGATCTAAGGCACAACAAAAAGTAATAAGTGAGATGCATAATAAACTTACCACAGCTAGGTGGAAAGCGAAGAGACTGGATTGGGATCGAAGCGTTATGAGGAAAAAAGCAGATAAAAGATGGAAGAAACAAACGGAAATCAATGCTGGCCGTCCTAGGTGAGACTTCACATTTCATTTAAATGCTCTAATCATTTGGATGCTCTGGGAGGACAGAATAAGTTATGTCCAGAGGCGACTTACAGAAGAGGTTGTGTGTCAACTGTTCAGCCGGCCAGACGGTGCCCTCATGGGAGGCAGAGGTGGAAGCGACGTGAAAGCTACCGCAGCTGGAAGAGGCATGCGGTGTGCCCGCCGAGATCTTGCGTGACGGCACCATCGGTATGACCAGCTGACGCAGGGGCTGAGTGCACATTATGATGGCGGGCCCGTGGGTCTCGCAGAAGTGGCAGAGCACAACCACGGCGTCCATCGGGAGAGACAACAGCTAGCTATGATGAACCCAAAAATCGACAAAACCCTAAGTTAAATTATACTTTGGTCGTATGCTGATCATGCTCAGTACGTATGATACTTTGAACAGGATGACCACAGGAACTATCTACAAATCAGTCGGAAGGTTTTATTATTTACGCAAATAAGTCGCGTCATCTAACAGAAACGCAATTAATGCGTGTAGGGTATAGTGATATGCGATCTTACCTACCGCGACTAAAACAAATCCGTGGGTTAAAAAGATCATATCGATGGGTCTCGCTGACAGTTTGGAAAGGGCACGAACTCGAACCTCGGCTTCCTTTGTGACTGCAGTGCAAAGATAACTTACTGCTACCCATTACAACGTAGTCTTTTTGAAGTTCGAAAGATCTGAATACAATCACTGCACGATGGTGGCAAAGTGGGAGAATCGGACAGGAACGTCAATAATGGAGCGTGATGTACGAAAAAAAGTGGAAAAACATAAGAAGTGAAGCTTCAAATTTACTTAGGTGCCACTAAGCTTGGTGGATTATTGGCATCTAGTGTTTTATGATGACTATTCTTAGTTTCTGCAAATTCACGCAGTTACTTTTTGGGAAAACCTGTTTAGGTTCACGGTTATCGCATTGTTGGGGCGCTTTTATCCGCGATCCCTTAAAAAATCATAAAATGTCGATCAAGATCTCGAGTTATGCGTATCCCAGCAAGTCCTGATAAATTCACGGATCGCGTTGAACAATGGATTAAGAAAATTATTGTGAACCTCATGTTTTAACCCTTTGGAATGAACATGGGTAATGATCGGGGCCAACACATAGCAATTTGTGCACGAAATGACGGCAGAGCACGACTTCACTATTTTAACAACATTGAATCCTTCAAGATAAATTGACAAAGAAACCAGATGGACAGATCTAATCGTAGAAAATGAGAAAAAATTCCAGAATTCCAGATAAAAACGTAGGAAAAAGGAGGACCAAAAACAATAATGACAGTTTGGTGGCGCAACGCTGGCAAAAAATGTCTGTTAAGACCATGGTCAGTTGGCTACAGTAGATACAATTATGCTGCAGACAGTTGCAGGAGATAAAGTTATGGGTAGCAGACATGGCTAGACGAAGTCAATAGGGAGCAACTAGCTATTCCTCTTGTAATTAAGTAAGAGGCAACTCGTCGCACAAACAACCCCACTTGAACTACGGAAGTCGCGTCCCGTTACCCACTCCATTTAGCAGACTTTGCAAAAACCAATCTTCATTACATCCTCCGGAGGGAACTATACAAGCAAGTCGTTAGGAATCACATTGCTTTATTATCGAATTCCACGCCGTATAATTCCAGATACATTAGTAGTTCCTTTCGGAGAAAAAGTAGCGATTTTTAGTGCACTTGCGCCATGATAGAGCAAAGTCCTGACTCGTAACGAGGAAATAATTCCAAGCAACACACAGACATACGGCATGGTGCAGATAAAGAGAAATACGATATCGAAAGTTCAAGTAATCCACCGCTCTTCAATGCAAAACTTGTGAAGAAATTAAGTTGACCGAGACCATTTATATATGTGAAATAATACCGCACAACTTTCGCCATCTGTGACTCGAAAATACAGTGACTTTGAAGTATGGTGCCTATTATGTCTTTCAATGCAAAAACAGGCAGTAAGAAACATGATGTCGTAAATATTACTAAAGCTTGCAATATCGTTTTTTCTCACAGTGCAGAACATATGACTATTCAACACAGGGGAATCATACACCAATATAAGTAGTGCATTTTGTGACGGCATGCATATAAAAGTAACAGAAGAGAAGGAGTTGTCATAACTGCATTGCACTTATGTCATGCAAAGCGCCAAAAGTTCGAGCCATAAAGGTGTTGTACATAGCCAAACAAAGGGGTAAGTGAAGGAAGAAAGCAAACATTCATGTGGCAAGGCGACCGACCACCAACCTTGACAAACCGGACCGTACCATCCGCTTTACAAATCAACCAATTAAAACTATTTATCGCTCGCCAGTAGCAAATTTATTTAAAAAGAAGCTGGTAAAACAAGTATTAGAATTTAATGCTGAATTTTAGAGGTGTGTTTTTCACTTATTTTGGTTTATCATATTGATGAATTTGGAACCGAACCTCATAATACTAGAAGTTAATCTGGCTTACTAGGTTCGTAAATCAACCTTTAAAATACAAAATTTTAGTGTCTGAGTTTTATTTTGCTGTGTCTTTTTATCTAAGTTTAGAATACGGGACTTTGTACAAAAATATGTTCTACCTTTCTTATTTTAGTGATATGCATGCCTATATTAGCTTCACATCACGTATTGATTACACTTGATTTCTCATAATTTGCAGTTTTGAACTTATTGGGCCGTCATGAAGCCATTAATGCCAGATTGCTTTGCATTTCTCATTATTTCGAGGGTTTCCCTAACAGTAAATTTTATACTTGAAAGTAAAATGATTGTGATCGCAAGTGATTTTTAATTAAGAATTTTACTTTAAATTTATTAACAGCATTAAAGCGATGTGATTTAAGAAATCAAGTGTGTACACTCACTTAGGAGATGCTTAATTTTATTGCTTAAGTTTATAGGTGTAGCGTTCCGGGACTTTCTTAAAGAACAAAGAAGCCATTACACCTGGGCAGAATATGTATTGCCAACATAGGTTGCGGCTTGGGACTACAAGCATGGTCCAGAGGCCAGACCACTCGATAAAAGTATAATGGCGGTGCACCTAAGCGGCTCCTTTACTAAAGCCGAGAGGTAAACAAGCATCTAACCTTTTTGCAGTAGGGGCTTAGGTGCGTAAGTGCGGGCTTACAAGCAATTAATTGTAGGCTACTAGATGTGGATTCCCCAAACCGTGAGCAATCAGTCATTATCAACAAAAAAGCACAGCGTTTTTTTAAGTTGTATGTTTTCCTGTGCATCGTAAAGGGATTGCGATATTTTGACTGATTGATGATTGGATTTACTAGCTGATTCGCAGTCGCAAAATTTAACATGAACTAACGTCCTTGTAAAATTTCCTTTCACACTGGATTGCTTAGGAGAAGAAGGAATTCAAATTAGTCTTTTTATTCTGCACTATAATGGCTTAAATCTATTCTAGGTTAGGAGACTCGAAACAGTCACTTCACCTTGTGTGAGTAACCATGACTATCGTCGGGGTCCTTAGGAGTGCAATTTACCTCGAACGGAGTTGAGTCGAAGCGTCATCAAAAGCATTCGAGTGGCCTCAGCACTGATGCAACCAGTACAACAAGCTTCAAGTCTTCGTATTAGAGATAATCAACCAGTTCGCCCTTTAAATTGTGGGTCAGCGAAATTTAACCGTAATATACCACTTATGGTAATCACCAACGAATCTGGTGTTTTAACTTGTCAAATTCTTGTGCTGTATCGTCCACACGTAAGGGTAAATTAAATTTGTATTTCAAATTGTCAAACTCGATGGCAACCTAGGCAAAAGGAAGCGTTGTTAGATTTTAATGACAACAAACATTTGTAGTGATTATTTATGCCTAAGTTGTTCTATGAGAATTTATACATCCTCCATTGATACGAGGTCTTCGAAAATGGCTTAAAGTGAAGTAAAATTACCCATTGTAATGCTTGAATAGTTTATTGACCTCTGACTTTGGCTACTCGAGCATTTGACTCCCTGCAGATTGTACTTCCGCTCTGCGGCCTGGCCTCCAGACATGCCAGTATCTTCAGCTCTTCTCCACACCAGTAATGTATCCTCTACTATGCTGCTGTGACTTCCTACGACTTCGGAGAGGTCTCGGGGCGCTACACCCGCAATTTTGAAATAAGGTCTTTCCTAGACCGGATGAAATTCTGACAAACAACTTTGAAAGCGTACCAACACTACAAGACTACATGCAGGTTCGGCAACAATTCAGGACCCTTTTCTTCAAGTTACATCATAACAGCTCAAAACATTTTCACCTATAGCAAAAATACTGGGCATAAATGTTTTCGCCTAGGTAATCAAGTCTGCACGAAACGTGCGCTTTTAAAGAATTTTTTCAGTTTACTCATCTAATTCATGATTGGTCCCTCCAAGTGCTTCAAAACGCGGCACAGGCGCACAGGAGGCTCTAGGGTGTGATGGTCACCCAGTGACTTGGTGAGGAGGTGAAGGAGAATCATAGATTTACGGTTCACCGATTGGTGCTCCAAAAGCGGGTATACTTTATTAAGTGCCAACCACAGGAATCAGTAAAAGAGGCATTTTACCGCTCTACCGCACACCACCAGGTAAGCGAAACTGATTTTGCTAACAGAATAAATGTGTTGTAACTAAATCCTTAAAAAGGTTAGTTGAGGGTGGATTGCAGCGTTCTAAATTGCAATTTACTTTTTTGGTGATAAGTACATGCAGCAGCTAGAACGTTTAATGCAGTCTCAATAGAGGCAATCTTGATGCAAGTTTAGAGTGCTGGTAAAAAGGAAAGACGGTTCGCTTAAAAATAAAAGAAGACAAATAGTAAAGTTGGCAACCCTTTTTTAGAAATGAGCGTTTCTGCGAAAACCTCGAAACCGAAAACTCCGGCAAAGCAGTAAGCTCGGTTTTTTGTCTATTTGATAAAAATTTGCCAAAGGCGATTGCATTTTGGAGAAGAGTGCAGTTACTTTTGATGCATTTACGGTGGGAGAACTGCCTTATCATAAAACTCGTAAGCGGGGGTGTTTGATACTTTCAGATAAATTTGGGTAGATCCGGGTTTGGTTACGCTTAAAATCAGGAATGGAGTCAAGTGTGGCAATAATCAAAGGGCACTTGAAGAAAAATGGCAATCTCAACTACACAGCCGTCGGGTTTTAGGGTTTCCCTTGAATGCTACAGCACAAGTAATCATAGCAACAGAGCAGCGTTAAAATTAAAACAAATGAAGTAATAAAATTGGTAGTAATAAATACAGATGTGGGACTTTAATAGAAGACTAATGAGCTACTGGAAATCGCAAGCTAAGTCCCTTATTTGATGTAATTTTCCACTTTAAATTCCTCTTGCCTATCTTTATGCTGCTTTCTTAACACATTAATAAAACACATTTACTAATAAAGTAAACATAATTTCAGTTTGAGCTGACAAATAAAGACAATCCAAATCGTATAGAATGAGCCAAAAGCATTCACGAAACGCGTGGGTGTGAATGCAAGGCATGCGTTGACAAGCCCATTGTTTAGGATTTCTAAGCACATTACCATCTGTTACTATAGACCAGATGTCAAGGAGGTGGCACTGGAAACCTTCCAGTCGATGGACGTGGATAAATCGGGCAAGGTGAGCTTCGCCGAGTTCAAAAAAGCCATGGAGAAGAGAGGAGGGCAGAAGTTGTCGATGACTGCGTTGAGGGCATTTTTCGACTCATTTGATAAAGACAAAGATGGAGAGCTAAGCCTCGAGGAAATTGAGAACCTCGTACTTTAAACAGTTCTTCTGAGCAATTCAAACATGACAAAGATCTAATATACAATTGCTCATTTTATATTCCTATTTTCCTCAACGTGTAATTAATTGAATAAATTAATTTGACAGTTAACAAGGTAGAAATTTAAAGACACATTGTAAAGTGTCTTAAGAGTAGTGATGGTTTACTAGCAAACAGAAATGAGAACTGTGGATTCACTGATTGTGGAGGACAAAACAATAACGGAATGAGACAAATAACACCATTTCACTCATTATTATTGCCCATAAAAGTAGCACATGACCAGTGTCTATGTGCATATAACCCCCAAGGAATCAGAACAAAAGTTTTACGCGAAACCCGTTTGTGAGTTTTATCGACTTAAGAAAAAAAGGAAAATTATGTCAGATTTAAAAGGTTGTTTTAAGATAAAAATAACTGGCTTCGGTTATAAAAGCACAATCATACCTATTTTGAAAAGGTAGCAACGATGGTGCAGGAAAACAGTGTTTGACTTAACAGGACCGACCCTTCCATTCATTGCAATGTAGCCTCCGGCATGGTGGTGTGGAGCTCCGCGAATGCCGCCAATGCAAACAATATTCCTGCCCCCACGGTGTCCATCGCAGAGCCACTTTCAGACTCGCGTGGTATTTACGCATACCAAAATTGCCCTATCTTGGGAAAAAGGGTTGGATGAACACTATAGATCGTCGTAAGTAAAATCTAACCAGCAGTCGAAGGTTGCTGCGTTTCCAGGTAAAAATAGGCTTAAAATCTTAGAAGGATCACAGGTAGTGCTTTGATACGTGTTTGTTTAACGCGTATGTTTGCCTGCGTGGGTCTTTCACTCGTTGCAAAATAAAAATCTACTCGATGATATGACTTTTTATCCAATCCATTGAACTACTGGCCCTTCTGTACGTAAGCAATAAATCTTTGTATTTGCATGGAACATCGAGACTTCGGCGAGGACTCGAGGCCCCACAGGTACACACAATAGGAATAATTAAATTTTCTACAGAAAGTCGGAAAAATCGTTTGGTGCATAAAGGTAGTATCATTGTGCGTGGTTAGTGCCAGTAAAGATGCAGTAGAAAAAGTGAAAACTTTTGATCGTATTGAGAAGTAATTGACTAGATAAGTGGATGACAAACCATTGCATCGTACACTAATTGGATTCATTTAAGTGTTCGCATAAAACGTGTTAAAGCTCCTATTCGTAATTTACTTGTGTAAAAAGTCACTTAGAAGCTAAGCTCTGTACGACTAGTTATTTTAAGTGATTTTTGAAAAAGCAAGTATTAAAAGGATCACTAAAAGCGGCTGCATATGAGTGTGATACAGACAAATTGCTATTAAGTCATATGTCGCGTAAACCCTTTAAGCCATTAGAAATGGTAAAAATAACCCAAGTTATTTAAGCGCGCATAATCTGTAGTAGATGACATCATTTACAGGCTTATTTAACTTATAACACATGAAAGCTGAAAATATCCTGCATGTATAACATGCTAATAGAAAGTGTCGTACAATGGGTAGATAAAATCTTTTACACCGCTACATTAAATACCTGCATAGCATTGATACACGCGGCTTATTAAAATGTCAACCGCTGACCTTCAAACAACCACCGAAATTGCGCTGTCAGATAAAAGTGGCACTGAATGGGTTTGAACAACTTAAAACTTAGTTACAGTGCAGATTAAAGAACACCCACTTTCAAGGAATGATTTAGAATATGTATTATATGACATAGAGGAAACTATGGATGGGCTTAAAATTGCGGCTAAAACACTTATGTGCAATTCCAGGTTTGCGATTTTTAGCCTTGTGATTTGAAACAGATCTATTACAGATATTGATATTTTACAATCATTTAAGAATCTCCAATTCATCAACCTTTCATCTAATCTGATAACTGATATTTCACCCCTTCTAAATCTAACGCTTGTACACGAATTGGACTGTTCATCAAATAAAATAACGTGGATTCCTAACTTTTCTTGGCCGTTTTTAACGAAATTAAACTTGAGTAACAACAAAATTAAAAGGATTCCTAGAATGGCTTTCCCATCACTCCAAATTATCTACCTTAACAGTGAGTTACAACTTTCTAGATGAAGGCAAAGTGAAATTTTTGTGAGAATTTTGCGGTTCTAACCTTTTTTTGACCTAAAGAGATGGTTGTGCTTGTAAATTTTAAGAAGTCGCAAGATCTCATAAAAACTCGTCCTGTTGAATTATTTTTATCTACAACACATCCACCGTGTATATCCCATAGTATTTTCCTGACGATACTTCAGGCAATTTTCAATTTCTAGGAATCATCATCCTACTAATCAGTTTTCTTGGTAATTTGCCACTGGTATTTCTGTTTCCTTTACAGATAATTCAATAAGGAGTCTAGTCGATGAAGATGGTAACGGCTTAATACAAGAGGACAATTTACCAGAACTCCATACTCTTGAACTGCGACAGAACAATATTAAAACAGAACTGCCTAAACTGAACCACCCTTTGCCAGAAGAACAGGCGGCTGATTATCAAAAGTTTCTTCAAAGGATCGGGCTTTACCACATGGGGCTGAAAATGTTGGTCCTTCCAGAAAATGAGATCAAAACAATGGCCTTGGTGTACAGACCACCGGAGAACATAGACAGTGATAAAGGCATGATTCTCAAGGTGAATCCTTTTGGCTCACGCATGGGTCGACTGCCTAACCTAGTTGTGTTGCATCTTCGTGGAAATGGGCTCCGATCACTCCAAGGTTTTACAAGGGAGGCTTTCGCCTCTCTGAAATACTTAAACTTAAGGTAGAGCATTTCTCCACTTTCTGTATTGTCTGTGCACAATTTAAAATTGCATTTTCTCCAATCAGGGATAATCACATAGCAAATTTGGAGGACTTGGAAAATTTGAGGGAGTTAGTGTCGTTGGAGCATCTTATATTAACAGGTAAGGCTATATTTTCAAATGTTAAAGGGGTAAAATTTGTTGATGTATCTCAAAAGCTTTAACAGATTGTGCGAACCATACTGCATCCGAGTAACAATTATGGTAGTTATTTGTGCTAAGATGTGCAACATCGCAAGCCCTTTAGTCCTTGTTTAAACCTTTGGAAAAGCCTGTGGTGTTCGTTTAACGCCTTAATTTCATTGATATTTGTCTTAGTAACCTTAGAAATACGTTTAAAGGAAAAAGAAGCCTGAGGAGAAATAGGTTTTTCTTTCGAAAAGGACCGCTATACACCATAAGTGATGAATAATGCCTTATTTGAAGAAACTCACATTAGCGCATGGTTTTTTATCATGAGATGTTAGTTCTTTATAAAAACATTATTTCCTGCTCAAATAGGATCGAGAATGCAATTTTGGTGTATTATAAATTTTGTCTTAGGTAAAATTGTGGAACTTCTTAACATCTGATAGACTGGGAAACTTATGTTTGCGATCAAACGACTAACTTACTTTTCTCAATAGGGAATCCGGTTGAGAGAATGAAGAAATTCCGGATTGAGTTGTTAATTCTAAATATTGGGTTGAGGAGAATAGACAAAGAGGACTACTGGGCAGAGGATGTCGAGGAGGCCAAGTCCATGATGGCGAAACGCAACAAACTGGAGGAAGGTGGAGGGAAGGGGAAAAAGCTCAAGAATGTTCTTCAATCGTCAAAATAATTTGCATGATTTAACAGTGGCGCGATTCTTTTCTGCTCCCTACTTGCCAATTAAAACATCTGCTAACGAGTTTTGAGCTGATGGGCGCTAATAGCGCCCAACAACTGGTGCATAATAAAACAAATTTTCAAAAACCAAAATTATGATGATAAGCAGTGCAACTAAAACGTTATATAGATCCATTCCCTATACCAAACATTCATCGTCATAAATCCAAAATTCCGAAAAACTTTTACTAGACTGCATCCTTTCCTTCTCTGCATTTATTTATTTTATTACCAACAGTTGTACATCAACATGGATTAATGTAGAAGGTAAAATTTAAGGAAAAATTTGTCAAGTCAAAGCCACCAGATAAAACTGTGGAAAAGCTTCCTCCACAAAGGAAGATTTCGGTGGCTTGACGTTGTGTTGATGAGAACTTTCAACTCAACTTTACGGCCAGAACTTCTTAGCTATTGTTTAGTTCACTCTGCTGGAATTTCTATGAAATACCTATTCTAATAACGGGTGGTAATACATTCTGACTATCGTGAAATTCGCCGACAGTTGTGAACGGCCAGCAACCGCGACTAAAGTTGTGGTTAGTGCCTTCGTGTTTTGCACCGCTCGTTAACTGCAACTTTTGTGGGCAGTTAAGGCTCAGCGTTCAGGAATAAAAATCAGCGTGACTGCCTTTTAATATCAGGTTAGCTTTTCGCTGCCACCAATGTAGCTACCCGAGTAGTTCGGAACGGCTGGCGGGGAGAAGTGGCTACTGGCATGGCCTGGAGGCCATTCCACCCAGCGGCAGTACAATCGCGGAGCCTTAACTGCCCACAAAATTAAAACAAAGCTTTAAACAAACAATAGAAGTATTAAAATACAGCAGCATTTGAAAAGATAGATTGTCTTGTCAATTCCAAACTGGCGAATTCTGCTACAATGAAGAGGGGACGTATTGGGACAGTTGCTTAGCAGAAGATACGACCATAGACATGTAATTAACATCACTAGTTATTTTACCAACTAGTAAAATAAGTAAGTAAGTGAAGCATAGCATTCCAAATGCGGCCACTTGAGTGAAATAATACAGAAGGGCTCTACATTGAAATGGCAACTTTCGAGATCATGGTGATTCTCAAGAAACTGCAACTGAACGTTCGAATGATCAATCTATGAGTTACTCGCAGGTTACGAAGTTTCTCATAATATACGAATATGAAATTTTTGCCGCCGTTCCTTCTCAGAACTGGCATGTCCCCCTACCTGTGAGGCTCTCATGTGGCAGGTATAGATGAGGGAACTTCCGCTCCAATGGTGGGTTCTAAAAACGAGGAAGTCGTAAGAGCCTTGAATTCCATAAGCATTCAAACCCCTCACTGTACCCCCTATAATGGCGCATTTTGCAATAACACCGTTGAGGTTATTACGACGTCGAAGTGAACACGGCAGCGAGTCCAAGAAAGTCAGTCTACTTGATCTAGGGTATAAGTACTATAGAATGGAATTCCTGTCAAATTGCCGGCCGTTATCATTTGAGTGAGGTTTAATGCAAAATGAAAAAAAATGAAGTGCCAAAAGTACCTTTTTAAGACTGTTATAACTATGCTGATGAAGAGGACGCAGGGGAGACAATGCGCGTTGTCTAGAGCTCACGTAAATATAGGTATTAATTATAATTTTTATATCAACTGCTTCTAATGGGAACGGGGTTCAACTGATAAGCCGTTCACTCCAAATGCCGCACTTATTCACCTTCGACTTTTTAATAATTTGTTGGCAGTATTTAGAGTTCCACCCAAACTGCTTTAATGGACAGGTCAACCTCCGTGTTGATGATGTGCTAGCAAGGGGTAAAACTAAAAGTTGGTTGTTCAAGTACCTGAAGTGCACCAAACCTTTTAAGTTTGACAGGAGCACATTACTGCGAAAGGAGTAGTTTGAAGTCGTTTAAAGATAGCTACCACTCTTTTGTAAACGAAATTAAAGGCAAATAAATAATCTGCACATTAAAATGTTGGAAAAGGCTGGAGCTTATGACCATCTTTCTTTCCTTCTTAAGGCAAGCGCATGAGATTTTGGCTATTCTTCCAAACTACACAGATAAACTTGGGTAAAATATCAAGCAAAGGAATAACATTTAAAACCAGGCTAGTTCTTAAATGAAATCACTTGTAAATTATCCATTAACCTTCACGGTGTTCCGAGTCTTCCTGGAAGCCGTGATAAGAAACATCAATGCAAAGGCGCGGTTTAATGTTGGTGCGCAGAAGAGGTGAGAAGCCCGTGCATTTAAAGATACGATTAAGCAAATATTTCCGTCTTTTTTAGACCCCAAGCTGTTACGCCTGTAATTTTATTGCATATTTCTCGAATTGAATGACTTCCTTGTCTTAACCCTTTGGTGGAAAGATTTAATTTAAACCATTAAGCCGTTTCGGAAGAATTTATTGGGAAGGAAGGACAACTTTCTCTTTGTAGTGGTGGATTGGAAGCAATGCGAAACATGACCATTTTACAGCTTCTACAAGGTGGCAAACGGTCACAGACGAATTAGGTGGCATTATGCACACCAGTGATGCATTCTAAATCAGCTACAAATTTCCCCTTACACACACACGCCCACTCGACTAAGGAAGGCAGGGTTAAGGTAATGGTGCTGTGCAAAATATAAGCAGGGTTTTGTTGTTTACGATAACATTTTGGTGCATTTTACTCTTCAGAACCAGAAACACCTCAGAATCAGTAATATCACCTTATGTAAACTCTAGAAATGCATACGAATCTTAAATGGAAGTGTTGAAACATGAACCTTCATACAAATAATGTGGCCACGATAGAAACAAGGGAATATGGTTTAGTAGATACTATTTCTACATTTTTTTTAGTCCAAATTCACTAAACTCAACGATTTTTAGACAGCAGCATCATCTTGCAGTAAATTTAGGGAAGCTAGCGAAAATGCCCAAAACTGAATGAAACAAAGCAAAGGACGTACCTCTTGCAAGATGTTTTGCCTTGACTACACCTTTTGAGTGATGCGTCGTCTAGTTGGAAGAACCTGGTGACTGAGAGAGCATGGTTGATATCCTAATCCCCACAAAATTTCACCTCCTCATGCTCTTCTTGATCAGACGGTTTGGAACGGAGACCAGATGGAGAAATGACGAAAGTTTTACAGTCTCTTGAATACGTACTGTGATGGAGCATATTGGCGTTCAAGGCGCAAGTGGACTCAAAATGTAGGTTGAATCAAGCGAAATCGAGGACCGACGACGTGGAAATATTAGAAAAGTTGCTTTCCATTCATCAAGTCTGATGAAAACTTCTTTAATTAAACTATCAGCGCATGATAGATTTTGTAAAAAGTTCTTTTAGACCTTGAAAACACCGCTTGTGAATATTCCTACACATGTGTAATGCGAGCCGCATATGTGGCGGGTCAAAAGCTTATGGTTAAGGTAATCAGCAGGACATGGCAGGTCTTTTGAGTAATGTCAGCGTATAATTTATGTAACAAAAGGAATACCTCTGCTGTTTAAAATTCAGTGACGCGACTGACCACAAACTTGTCAAAGTGCCTCACCCATCACACTTTCGCTAAGGAAAAAAGCCAACAAACCGGCAATGCATTGCAATGACTTTTTATTGCATGTGACCAGGAGGAAATTTAAGGATTTTGCAACGTTTAGTAAATTCTCGAATAGGTAGCCGAGAAGTCGAAGTTTGTTTGGCATTTTAGTAGCCGACGAGATTGAAACTGTTTTAGGGACTGGAAATAATTTGGATGCCTCCTTTCTCCAATACTTCTTTTTCATTTTAGCCTTATTTTTAGTGTCTTAATGAAATACGACTCGACTCAGTAAAGGACTCTGCTGCCCCTAATTCACATTGCAAATGCTTTGATTTGTGAAGTATTTTTAACTAAGTCTTGACGTTTCTAGCATATCTGCCATGTTATAGTGATTTGATATTCTTCATGTTCCTCTGGCTGTATCGACATCTCGCCAAGGTGACATTTGTCCAGCTTTCTTCCCTATCCATGCATCCGATTACAGCTTGAAGGAAGATTTGGGCAGTCATCATGTGTTAGCCTTCAATATGGGGAAGTTTACCATTCACTGTATTCAGAAGCACGTAAATATCGCATTTAGGGAGTTTTTTCAAATCATTCCAAAGCATTCTCATCACAGGTGCAGGTGCGATTCAATTTTATTAAATGTGAAGATTGTGCTCGTAATCAGTTCTTCTTGTCTCCTAACAACCAAATCAAGAGCGTTAACATCACTGATCGATGTGCTTGCCAAATCGTATAAACAATCCGCCTTCCAGGAATAAAAAATAAAATCCAAAAAATTCTAATCAGCTTTTTTACATAATGAGAAGACATTTTGGGTTTCGAAATGCTATCGTCTCGAATACTACGCATTTCATTTCGCGGCAACTTCAGTCAGTACACTTATGAACTTACAATGAGTACGTGTACTTCGGATCAGGTCACCCACGCATCTGGACCTTGACCACTCTGAAGTGTTTGAACGTCACTGTTACCATCGCAGTTGGTAATAGGGATGGGTGTTGCATGCACCCATGAAATGGGCACCGTTGATAAAAGGTGGAGGCACCAGTGAGGGACCACGACTGTGTGCATGGATCAGCGTGTTTCAGAGAACGAACTGTTTTTGTAAATAAAGGTTTTAAATCCGATCCCACAAATAGCTGCTCGTACGTGCAGATGACATCGAGCACAGTACGGTGCATTACTGGGGCGCTCAGCTACGTTAAAATTTGCCCACCACTATCGTTCCCAAGACGACAGTTCACCCATTTATGAAGATCCCAAATGAGGTAGTTTCCAGCCCACAATAGCCGTTTCTTTAAGTATGTTGCATATGCCACCCCTAAATCCGGATGGCAGGCGCACAACCCGGCATGAGCTTGTGAAAGGGGCTGTCCAAAGGCAAACTTTAGAATCTTGGAGTTTTACGAGCATAACTTAAAGGCTGGAGCACATAAAAATGCACTATTAGTCTAAGCTAATCACATCAAGAATGGTGACAGCATAAGTAGAGAGTTGGAAGCAGGTGTGTCTGATTGAATGGTTAAATAGAGTGGTAAACTTAAATGAAGCCTTGGTGACTCGTAGGCGAAAGCGAACAGGTGAACTTTGGTAACTAGGATGCCGTCTCAAGGAAATACTAATGGTTCAAGTGGAGTGATGTGGCATAGTGTGGTGTGGTGTAGAGGATTTCACAAGAACTACTTCAAATAAGGTACAGTGAAATGTAACCTGGAGGTTCTCCGCCACCCAAACTATGGAAGACTTATGTTGCATTTGACATACTTAAATGTCCAGTATTGTGGTTGGAGGGAAAAGGGATATATGAGCGACAGCGTACACTGGCAGTCAATGTAGGCCTGAATGTAATGGACGTGAGATAATGAACAGAAATTAGGCGAATACTGATGGATAAGGTGTTTCTGAACTGGCAGGGAAGTAATGGCGAATGACTAAACAGAGTGGACTAGGGTAAATCACCTAATTAATTCAGCTACAGGTTGTTTTACTACGAAGAGAAAAGTGAACTGCAGGTAATTGATAGGCGATGGATTTACAGGCGGCTAGATGGAAGCAACAGTGGCTCAATGATTGGATGGATAGCTGGAGGCACGAATAATTGGTGAAGTGTGTAGTGTCACTTGCAAGTTCACATGGTTCAGCAGCAGCAACTTGAAATCTAGCAA